TGAGATGGGTCCTGTTCATGGGCCTGGGGCAGATCTGCAGTGGGTCACTCCCACAGCGTGTGTGGCAAGGGAGCAGGGTTGCCCTCGTTAGAAAGGGCCTGTAATGAGGTGGGAATGTGCAAGGTCTGGTAGCAGATACATCCTGGTTAAGGGACACCCTCTGATCATTTGTACCCAGTTATGGCTTCTCTGAGTACATAATTCCTACTCTGCTTTGAGTCCCCTCCTGTCCCCCCAGTGCCCTTCTGTTCAGAGGGAACCTGAGCTGCTGGGGGGCTTTCCTGGGGATGGCACAGCTCAGGATGAGCAGTCCTTGTGGATCGGCCTCATCTGAGCACTTTGGATCCAGCTGCTGGATCCCCTCAAGTACTTGGGTCCTTTGGTTCTGGCTTGGGGTTTCTCTGCCCACTGCTCCATGGCTGTGCCATGCCATGAGGAGCCTTTTGGTGCCCCATGAGAGTGGATGGCTCCATCCCTGACCCGTGCTGGCACCTAGGACCACATCCCTGTGCACAGGGTGTTGCAGCACCTCATGGGGACCAGGCACCCTCATCTCAACCAGTTCCAAGTAAGGCCACGTGCTTGCCTTGGGTGATGCGGGCACCCCACGCACTGTGCTGCCTTGGTCTGGAGAAGAAACCCAGCATGCTATACCATGCCGGTGGCATCAGTGAGGACGCAGGGGAACAGTGCAGGTCCCAGGCAGGAGGGAAGCACTCAGGGCTTTCCCCTTCCCCTCCCAGGCAGGGCTGGCTGCTCAGCTTTAGCCATTGCCTGCCCTCTAAACCTCTGGGTTTCAGTGGCAGGGCTGCAGCAGACAGTGGAGCACCACTTGGGCCGTTCACACTTTCCCCCTCCGCTTTAATTAGAGAAGGCTGTTCCTGTGCCGCAAAAGTCCTGGAATCAAATCTGGCTTAATAACCCCCTTCCCTCCCTGCCCCGTGTTGTTCCACTTAATCCTGTAATTACCTCTGCAAAGCTGCCGCTGCCCCTGGTCTGCTGGATGGTGACCCTGTGCCTGCTGTAGTCACCACCATCCATATTTGGGGAAGTTTTCTCTCTTTGCCCTGGCTCACCTGCTGCACTTGCCTCATTAATTCAATTTTGGGGACCAAGCACCCACTCAGTGGCTCAGCATCGGGAGACCCGGAGCTCTGGGCATGCATCTGCGCCCAGAATCACTCTCAAGAAGCACTGCCTCCCGGGGAGGCGATGGGAAGGGGAATGTACGGCAGGCTGGAACATCACCACAACGAGCCTCCTGCAAGGCAGGGAAACATTGTGGATTGCCTTGGGAAGCAATATTGATGTAGGGAGAAGGGGTGTGGAGGCTATGGATGCGGTAGCTAATTTTTTTAAAGCACTTCTGAAGTGCTACAGCGGCGTGACTTCCTTCCAAACCACATGGCTGTTAGCATTCCCCAAGCAGAGGAGTGAGGAAATCGCCCACCTCAAAAATGCAGCCGCTTCTGAGGAGGAGCTGGGAGGGCGGCTGCTTCCTCGGGAAGGGCACCCCATGGGTGCTGCTGGCGGCCACCAGAGAGCCTCGCTGGGAACACCTTGGGGATGCTGTCCCTAGGAGATGCACCCCATCGTTTATGTCCCTCCTCGTGCCAGATCCAGGTGGCTGCTGGGCTGGATTCATCACCAAGGGGCTCATCCCATTTTTCCCTGCTTAGTTAGCAGCATCTCCATTTGATCTGAACTGGGGGCAGCAAAGATGGGAAGCGGAAAGGGGGGGCAGATGGGGCTGGGGAGAGAAATACCCACTCCAGGCCTCTCTGGCACCTTGCCGGCAGTCCCAAGGTCATGCTGAATATGCATAAAAGGGAGCAGATTGCAGCTTGCCCTCCTCTCCGATACAGAGGTGAGGCCCACGGAGACCACCAGCCCCGGCTCTCTTTCAGCGGGATAATGGGGTGAGCCGAGCGCGGAGCGTGCGTGCCTGTGTGTGGTCTCGCGGATGATAATGATTTCCATTCATGCCCTGCCTCTGCAGCGCCGATACACCGCTGGGCGAGCGTTGGCTCCCTGACGGCTGCTCCCTGGCAGGAGCAGAGCCCTCAGAAGTTGAACACCAAATCTCTGGGCTTGTGCCTTGGTATGGCTGGTGAGAGGGACAGAGTTTCCCACTGGGACAGGGAGGATGGGCAGGAGATGCTCATGCCCCCTATGTGCCCCCAAAGCAGCGGTAACCCCAGCCCAGGTTCTAGACCTGCTGCCCCAGCCCTGCCCAGAACACCCTCGCCTCTGGGCTCTCCCCTTGCCACCAGTGGCTGTTAGTGCTGTCTCTCTCCCCTAGGCAGGGGTTTCCTCATATCTTTGTATCTTACCCAATGGGGAATTAAAAGGCCTTTGCAGATGGCAAACTTGAGTGTGGCCCTACCCCCTTGCTGCCATGTAGCAGAGAGGAGGGAGTGGGTGGAGGAGAGCCCTCCTTGGCAGGGTTTAGCGGGAGCCTTGTTTGATACACCCTGAGTCCCCCTGGAGTGGATGAATGCAGTTGCTGAGGCATCCCTGAGGGTTTCTCCTCTGCTCCCAGCACAGAGGTCTTCCCATGGGGTTGTCCCCATGCTGTGTGCTGCCCTGGAGCTGGTGAGATGAGAGGGGGTGGTGGCTGCACCCAGCTGGGTCCCTCTCTGTGCTGTGTGAGGTGAGATGGAGCAGCTGGTCTCCGCAGGTATGTGTGTGGCCAGGTCTCGCTAGACATTGTAGGGGGGTCCGTCAGCATTTCGCAGCCCGCTGTGCTGGGTGTGAGTACAGAAGCAGGGCTCTGCCTGTGGGCTGGCAGTGGCTCTGTTTTGCTGTTCAGCACCAGGCAGATGCTGGGGATGGTCCTGTCAGTTTTTCATTGAGGGGGTTAACCAGGTGCTGTCTTCACTCAACAGTTCCCAGACAGGCAGACACTGGGGAGCTTGCAGCAGCCACGGCTTCATCTCCCACCCATGAGGCAGCTGCCTGCAGTGGGGCTGGGGCTCCCGACAGAGCCCTGTGGGCTGCCTGCAGCAGGGGATGCTCTTTACTGCTTGGTCCCTGTGGCACAGTGCTTCCTCCACTGTGGTGGCTGCTACATCCCTGCTGCTCCCCTCTCCACTCCCACAGCCCTTGCCTGCATGCCACACTCCTCGAGTAGGGGGTCTCTGCTCTGGGCACTCCAGGGACAGCTTCCCTTGTCTTGCTGCCTGCAGGCTGCCCAGCCACCGGGCCATGGGCTGATGTGTCCCTGAAAAGCTCTGCAGCACTGTTGGACGGTGGGGAATGCGCTGGTGGGGCAATGCAGAGACCACCAATGGAGCTGCTGATTTTTTTCAGCAGTGAGCATCTCCTTTTCCATCAGCAGAGGATTAAGCAGTGAGGAAAGAGCATGGAGGTGGCAGGACCAGGATTTGTCCCGTGGGAGAGGTCCAGGGATGGGCTGAGACCCCTGTCGCTGCTCCCCCCTTGGTGGGCTCTGCCGCTGGCTGCCCAGTTGACTGTGACCGGGAAGGGAGGAATTTCCCCCTGTTAGCAGTTTGGCAGCCTGGAGAGGAGCAGCTTTCTCCCACAGCTTTCCTTTTTTTCCTTTTTTCAAAAAATCCCACATAATCTGAAACAAGCTGTCCCCTTCTAGTCTCCTTTGGCCGGAGTGGGCAACTGGGCAGGCAGGTATGGTGTTGGGAACTGTAGGTGAGGAGCAGAGCATCTGCTATGCTGGGTCATGCATGGGGCTTCGTTCCTGAGAGTGAAGCACAAAACCCAAGTCATCCTGCAAGGGTTTACTAGTGGGAGAGAGCATGATGGGGGATCCCCTCCACCCACCCTGGCTGTGGCACGGGCTGGTAGAGGACAGAGGAATCGGCTTGGTGGCTGGGGCGGGCAGCACACGGCCAAGCATGTGGGATGGCAGGGCTGACGCCACCTGCCCAGCTGGGCACCTCAGGGGACCGCTGCCAGCTGCAGCTCTCAGGGCCGTTCTCTAGCGAATGAGTGAGCTGTGGCTATTCGCAGGATGCGAAGGATGGGGCATGGCCGATCTTCATGTTGTGGGATGCTCCTGCTGCAGCTGGAGCTGGCAGGAGGGGTCATGACCTCCAGTCACTCTTCCACCCTCCAAGGCAGCAATGTGGGAGATGGGTCATGTCTCCCTGGGAGCCACCCAGCATCCCCTGGCCCTGTGCTGTGGCTGCCAGGAAAGGAGCCCAGCCAAGCCCTGTATTTGGTCCTTGCCTTTCCCTCCATCAACAGACAGGCCAGACCCAGACCCGGGTTTCTTGGGGCTGAGGACAGAACAACACCCTTCTGCCAGTGGGAATACTCTGGTAGTGTGGTGGTGGGATTTGAAGGGAGAAGAGGGACTTGGAGAAGCCACCATGCCCATGGCCAGCAGGATGCTGCTGGGGCTGTGGCATGGAAAGTGGTGCTGGACTCAGGAGTCCCAGGCCTTCATCCTAGCAAACTCCTGTGTGTTGCAGTGTCCCCACAAGGTGTTTTCACTGCTGCTCCTTTCTCCTGTGCCGGCAGGAGCTGGTTTAGGCTGCAGTTGGATAACTTGGGGTTTGCAGCTACTGTCACAGCTGTAAGGTCTCCCCAACACTTCCCCACCACCAATCATTGGCAGCTGTGCAGCGACAGGGGTCTCTGAACTGTGCGTGACAGCCAGAGCTACTAGCAGGCGTGAATGTTCCTGTCACCCCCAAGACAGTTTGTAAGAGGCCAGGGAAAGCTGGACCCTGATTTCACCCTCCTCCTTCCAAAGCTCAGCTTCTTTTGCCATTTCCTGTGGTATCTGACTCCTGCTGATGAGTGGTGAGGGATTGGTGTGGACAAGGTTGCTCGAAGTATTTGCCTTCTGCCCCATTCCCAGGAAGCTGCATCGGTAGATGTGGGGTGGGAAGGTGGGCACAGGTTGAGGGCCAGACATGATCCCTTACCAGCATCCCTGCATGAGTTGTGCCGTGGCTGTGCCACTCCCAGCAAGGCTGCTGGCACCATTCACTCTCTTTGCTCTCACTCCAGGGCAGAGCCGCTTCCCTCACCACAGGAGGATGGAGGTCCTGCAGCTCCTGCGCCTGCTCCTCACCACCGCCATGCTGGGCCTCTCCCAGACGGTGAACCCCTTTGTGGCCCAGCAGACCCCCCCAGACCCTTGCTACGATGAGAGTGGTGCTCCTCGCCGCTGCATCCCTGAATTTGTCAACGCTGCCTTCGGGAAGGAGGTTCAAGCCTCCAGCACGTGCGGGAAGCCCCCGACACGGCACTGCAATGCTTCAGACCCCCGCCGAGCCCACCCGCCTGCCTACCTGACTGACCTCAACACTGCCTCCAACATGACATGCTGGCGCTCGGAGACCCTCCACCACTCACCCCAGAATGTCACCCTCACCCTCTCTCTTGGCAAGAAGTTCGAGGTGGTCTATGTCAGCCTCCAGTTCTGCTCGCCCCGGCCTGAGTCCACTGCCATCCTCAAGTCCATGGACTATGGCAAGACCTGGGTGCCCTACCAGTACTACTCCTCCCAGTGCCGTAAGATCTATGGCAAGCCCAGCAAAGCCACTGTCACCAAGCAGAATGAGCAGGAGGCCCTCTGCACCGACGGCCTCACCGACCTCTACCCCCTCACCGGAGGGCTCATCGCCTTCAGCACCCTTGACGGGCGACCCTCCGCCCAGGACTTTGACAGCAGCCCTGTGCTCCAAGACTGGGTGACAGCCACCGACATCCGTGTGGTCTTCAGCCGCCCACATCTCTTCCGCGACCTGGGCAGCCGAGACACCGGTGAGGAGGAGGGGGGCACTAGCTCAACCCCCTATTATTATGCAGTGGGGGAGCTGCAGGTTGGCGGGCGCTGCAAGTGCAATGGGCACGCGGCACGCTGCGTGAAGGACAAGGAGCAGAAGCTGGTGTGTGACTGCAAGCACAACACAGAGGGTCCTGAGTGCGATCGCTGCAAGCCCTTCCACTATGACCGACCCTGGCAGCGGGCCAGTGCCCGTGAGGCCAATGAATGTCTGGGTAAGTGATTTTTAAATAAATCTTTTTCATTGGCTGAAACTCTAAAAGAGGTCACTGGGTGAGGAAGTGATGGGTGCTGAGCCAAAATGATGGAGTGTGCTGGTGTGGAGATGCTGGGGAGCATCCCCTTCACTGAAGGGCTAGGAAAGACTCAAATCCAGCATCTGCCCTGTTTCTGCTGCAGGTGTCCCCCCAGAGGTGCAGTGGTTTGTCAACGAGAAAAAGCCCCAAAACCCTCCAAAAAAATCAGCAGTGTCTTCCAGCTGATCAGCAAACCTCAGCGTGGGATGCGGGATGCCTGGCTGGGGGTGTTTCCCTTGTGCAGCTGCCAATGGCCTGGGAAGGGGAATCATGGCAGTCCCCTGAGAGATGTGCTTTGGGGTAGGGAGCAGGCAGCAAAACCTGGTAGAGATTGAGGAAATACCTGAGATACCCTGATTCAACATTTTATCGTTTGGTCTGGCATGGTGCTTTGCATGGTGGTTTTAGCTTGTTTGTCCTTGCAAAGGTTTCCATGAGTTACAAATGTTGTCATCGAAATGAAACATTTCCAAAATATCAAAATGACGTTGCTTGGCTGTCCTGGTTATGAGTCTGTGTGGGATTTTGTTAGAGGTTTTTGCCTTTTGTCCTGATTTGGGGTTAGGGGATCCCAGAGCCCTATGAAGGTCTGGGAGACAGCCTCTCACTCCTCCTGGACTGGAGCCTGTGTCTCAGAGGGTGGCAGGAGGATGGATACAAGGGAAAGCCATACCATTCATCAGCCCTGAAAGGCTGTGGATGTGCCAGAGGTCAGAGGGACTTGTTAGTATTTGTAATCGATGTCTTGTTGAGATCCCAGCTGTTGGCTTAAATATATTTATGTTACAGTGGATTTCTTCTAAGACTGGCTAAAAAAGCAGAGAATTCAAAGCAAGTGCCGGAGCCAGTGCTTTAAACCACCTCACCCTCACACTCTGTGGGAATATGACAGCCCTTGCATTTTCCCACTCAGAAAGATGGGTTTGGAGTAAAGCTCAGAAAAAAATCCCCTCAACACCCTGCCCACAGCTACTGCCTCCAGCTGCCAGCAGGTCAGGCAGGGGAGGGCTCCGACTGGTGGGTGAACCCACAGAAACCCCCTGGGACAAAAGGAAGACCCCAGCCCAGTTGGCTGCCTCCCTTGTGGGGACCCTCTCCACTGAATCCCCCGATGAAGCAGTGGGTTGGTAGCAGAGGTGGCTCTGCTGGCACAAAACGGATTAAACTGGAGGGAGGCCTATTTTGAGGGAGCATCTGCAGATCTCCTGTCTGCCTATCCGTCTTACCCATTGTAGGGTGAGGGTCCCGCTTCACAGGGCCGTGCTCCCAAGCATCCCTGCCCCCAGATTCTTCACCCTTTTGGCAGATGGGGCTGAAAAGATAAACGAGGGAGAGAAGAGGAGGCGAGGGCGCAGTGCGGTCCCTTCAAGCTCCCCCTGACAAGCCCCGCGCACAAAGACCCTTCCCCGAGCTGCGTGTGAAAGTAGTTTTTCCTGTTGATTCACGCCCCTTCTTTCTCCCTTTCCCCTCTCGGGCTTTGTGCCCTCTCTGAAGGGACCTGAAAGAGCTTCTCCATCACCCGCCTCCGAAGGGCTTAGTGGCTGAAAGCTGGATTAGCTCCCCGAGCCTTCCCCTCTGTGCCTTTCAACAATGACATCTCCCCAGCCAGCACGAACAGACGCAGCAATTAGCACCAATTAAAAGGAGAGGCCGCCCGGGAAGTTCCCTTTGCTCAGCCTGGGGGCTGAAGGGTTTCGGACTCTGTCCTGCAGCTGGGCATTGGTGATGCTGGCTCGTGGTGGTGGATGGTCATGTGTGGCTGGGGAGGGGTGAGGAGGGGAAGGGTGGATGGATGCAGGAGGTTGGTAGCCCAGTGCCAGCTGAGGGGCAGGGCTGGGGGTCTGCAGCACCACAAAAGTGGATCTGGATGGAACCATGGGGCTTGTACAGCTTCAGGTCACCTCTTGGCTCTGTGCTCCCCAGCACGCTGCATGGGAGTTTGTCCCCCTCCAGTGCACAGGAGTCTCTACCTGCTCTGGCATGGGGACAGTTTGATGTCCTGCACCATGTCATGGTGCTGGGTCATCCATCCATGAAGCTGGAGGTGAGGACAAACTTTTCCTATTTCACAAGAATTTCTGCCTCTGGCTGATGTGGGGAAATGCAGAGGGGAAACAACCCAGTGACACCTGAGGTCTGAGCATTGGCATGGGCCATGACCCCACCATGGCTGCTGTAGGGTGGCTGTGGCATTTGTGGGGACTTCACTGTGCTGTGATGTTATGGGAGTCAGCATGACTTTGGCAAGCAGGCGGGCTTGGGGATGTTGCAGCTGGGACAGCAACAGTGGGTTTGCCATGCTGCTGGCTCGGCAAGGGGGCACAGGGTCAGCTCTGTGTGACAGTGTGCGTGGCCCCCTTCCCGGTGGTTAGAGAGCAGTGCCAGTCCACAGGCACAAGGAGCTCTCCTGATACCCCAAAAGGGCTGCCTGTCCTGCGGGGAGCTTGTCCTGCCAATATTGGGATGCTCTGTGTACCTGCTGGTGTGCTCTGCCCAAAACAGGGGAAAGAGGAGGGCAGGAAAGAGAAAGATGTGTCCTCATCTCTGTGTCCCTCCAGCTTTTGGCCCAGGTCAGGCTCAGTGAAGGATAATTCCTGCAGAGTGGCCAGAGGGAGCAGGATCACCAAAATCCCAAAACCCCGCCATGTCATGCATCAGCTTTATTCTTGCAGACCTGCTCCTCCTCCTTCCCACCGCTGCTGCCAGTCCCTGCCTGCACATGCAGAGCTGCTTGGGGCAGCCTGGTCACCCCCTCAGCAGGCTGTCCCCGAAACACCCGGCCTGGGGAAGGGGGGAAGCAGATTACCACAGGGCAGCCACTGAAAGTAATTGATGCACTCGCTGGTAATGCGGGAGCTCTTGTTCCCTTTGTGGCCGCCACGGCGGGAGTGCTCCCCAGAGCACTGGGATAATGCACGGGGCTTGCTTTGATCCCGGGGGTTTGGCGGGGAAGGGGTTGCGCTCTCCTGGGAAGACCTTGCTGGCTGCTGCTTCCCTCTGCTTTGGGCTGGGGGTCTGTGGTAATTGATCCGGGATGCCAGCGCTGGAAAATACCAATCCCTGGAGCAGGGATGGGGTTTAGAAAATCCCCTGTGTTTTCCCCATGTCCTCTGCCCCTTCCTGAACATGTTTGCTTTCTTTTTCTACCTCAGTGCTTCCTATGCAAAAATTATCTCAGAAATCCCCCAGTGAGCTGGCCTGGGCTATTGTACCCCATGGAGCAGGATCCATTCTGTCAGTGGCCTCTTGTCAGTCGCATCTGCAGCCCCTTCCCTTGCTGCACCCCCGCAGCAGGGTGCTCCTTGCCCTCTCTCCAGTAGATGTGCTGGAGACTGGTGGGTTCCCAGCAGCACCAGCTGTGGTCCTTCCCCACAGAGAGCAGGAGGCAGTGGTTTGGGGTAGGTGATTGCTTTTGGAGGTGGACAAGCAGGCAGCATCCCCCCACCACCTCTGTCTGGGCACCTGCTCCCCATGGGGCGCAGCATCGCAGCGAATCCGGGGTGCAGCGGGGACGCAATCACTGAGATGGAGGCGATTAACACTTGTCTGACCATCCTGAGTCCTGCTCCTCGTGGGATGGGGCTGGAGTGGCTCAGCCTTTCCCTCGCACCCCTGTTCTCAGCTCTCAGCCTCTCGGGGAGGGCTCTCTGCTTCTGCTTCTCCTAATTATTGCAGAAGAAATTAAAGCCTTGGCCCCTCTCCCCAAACACCTTCTCCATGATGGAGGCACAGTGTGGATGGGAGGGAAGGGGTTTTTCTGCTCTCGGTTCCCATCCCCAGGGCGGAGGTACAGCCCCATCCTGCCCCGCCGTCCTGGCCGGGCTCTCCTCCAGCCAAAGCAGGGGCGTAGCTCAAATCCACTGTGGGTTGGCAGCAGCGGCCGGTCTAGGGTTTCGCTGAGCCGGCTGCCTTCGCTAATTATTCCCAGGGAACTTGTAGGGACGGCAAGCCCACCTTCTGCCCCACAAGCTCCATCATCTGCCACGCGTGTGCCCAGTGCATGGCACTGCCTGTCCTGTGCCAGGGTCCCTGCCCCAACCCCCTCGTGCCATCACCCCAGGCTCCTCCATCCACAGCAGCCTGGAGGAAAAGAGGTTGTGGGGCGGCCATGGCCTGGGCAGGGGTTCAAATCCCATCAAAAGTGGGTCAGAAGGTTGCTCCATTGCGAGGTGTTGATGTTTAATTAGTCTATTATTGCAAATTATTAGATCTTGTGATTGTTTAATTGATCATATGATTGTTTAATTGGGCATACTGTACAAGGGCGGAAGCAAGCCACCAGATAATTAGCCCCAAACTGTGCAATTAAATTCTTATTAATACCCCAAACAGCAGGGAACATTCAAGCCTTTAATTAGTGATTAACGGGAGACAAACAGAGCTTGCAACCGAGTCAGCGCTGAGAAACATTGCAAGTATTGAGCCGGGTAAGAGGGGGGACCCGTCTGCCCCAATTAGCGCTGGATGGCTGCGCCGGGGGGGTGAGGGCACAGTCATGCGTGCTGGTGTGCCCCTGTCCCTGAGCAGGGGACAGCCACCCAGCCCTGCATAGCCAAGCCCAGGCAGGTCCTCAGGCTGTCTGGCCAGGATTGTGCCAGACTTGGCTCCTGGTAAGCTGGTGGCAGCTTGCTGACACCCGGCCCTGGGTGGGATCAGCATCCCAGAGTGGGCAGCATTGCTGCCTGCAGGCAGGGGGATGATGCTAGGCAGCAAGAAGAGGGTTGTCTCCAAAAGCTGGTTCCTGGGAGGATCTGCAGCTTGTTGCCAAGGAAAGGTGGCTCTGGGGCTGATGGGGACGTGCCAACTGGGAGGGCCCCCAGCCCACAGCAGAGTTGGTGATACCATGAGAAGGCCCCGGCCAGTTACTCTCTCACCAATTAAACTGGAGGCAGAGAGGGACTCGCGCCAAGGGCAGCAAATCATTTACCTGACCTTTCTTCTCTGCTGCCCATTGCCTCCCCTCTGGGCTGCTGTCCCCTTTCCTGCCCTAGAGGATGCCAGAGGCTTGCGGGGGCACCCCCAAGCATTCCTAGCAGGACAGAAAATCTGCCTTTTGGGGTGACCCAACTGGCCTTTCAGTGATGCAAGGGAATAACAAGGCCACTCTACCCTCCAAAAATTGTTCCTTTGCCACAATTACATGTGGCCACCTCAGTACAGCGGTACAAACTCTCCCATTATCTGGGGAGTGCAAGAGCAGCCTGGATATGGGGGTACTTCACCACATTTCTCCTGCCCCTGGCAAAGCCTGGCCAGGCATTGGCATCCCCAGCACAGCAGCATCCCTGGCACAGGAGCATCCCAGGCTGCCTGGGACCGCGGGCAGTATTTGCTGCTCTGCTTCCAAGCACCACAAGCACCTAGTCCTGTGTCAGAATTGGCCTCAAAAGTCCCTGTTTTTCACCAGCACTGCGGAAAAATAATGAACTCAAAAGGCACAACTCCCCAGAGGCACCTACCACCATGCTGGAGTGTTATTTTGATGCCTGCCATGTGATTTTTACACTAATCTCATAAAGCAGAGGAGCTCCTGGGGGAGCTGAGGTTTGAGCACATGGTGCTGGCAGCACTGAGGCCGGCACCAACTTTTTGCTCAACTCATTTAAACCTCCAAAAAGGCTCTTTTTTTAGGGCTGGGATTTGCTTCAGCTTTCTTCCCCAAGCGTCTCTGAGGCAGGAGTGATGAGGCGAGCGAGGGAGCGTTTGATCTGCGTGGGATGAAGCTCCCACCAGTGCTGCTGGCTGGGGGGGAGGCAACTTCACACGACCGCCAAGCCAGGCCTAAGCAGTTAAATCTGGGCTGACACGTTAATGAATTTCACAGTATGCCTGGAAAAACTCTCACCCAACCTCACTTCACCGGCGTGGGGAGGGGGCCAGGACGGGGGAAGGAGGGCGCCACGTTTTGCCGAAGGAAATCTTGTTCCCATTATCTTTTTGTGAGAGTGTTAAGCAGGAACGGGCATTGCTTTGCCTTTTTATCTCACACACGTGGAATCAGGCAGGGGGGGCTGCACAGTTCCTGTGGCTAATGAAAAAATAGCGTGTGTGTGTGTTTGCAGGACTGTGCACGTATGTGTATGTGTGTATATGCATCTGTGCGTGCATATACGTGCATGTGTATGTATACACATACGTGAGCATGGTATGAATGTGCGTGCATGTTTGGGTGTATTTGTGCACACAAGTGTGCACCCTTTTGTGTGTGTGCACATGCAGCAGCGTGTGGGTGTTTGCGCATCTGCGTGCGTGCACATGTGTGCATGTGTAATGTATGTGGATATTTAGGTGCACATTTGTGTGCAGGCATGTTCACAGGTACATGTTCATGTGCACACGAGCTAGTATGTGTGCTCGTGTGCATCTGTGAGCACACGTGTGCATGCACATGCATGGGTTGCTGTGTGCGATTCTTTCTACGTGTGCACATGCACGCAGGATAGAGCCTTATATTTGAGGAACTGGGGGGCTCCACTGCTGACGTTGAGGATGGCAGCCTGTGAGGCAGCAGAGCCAAAGCCATCGCGCCCCCGGCATGAGGCGGGAACCAGCTGCCAGGGAAGTGACGGGTGGGATGATGGGGCTGCAGGTGCCCGACTGTCACTGCTGGACCCCCTAGCTGAACCCCTCCATCTCACACTTGTCTGCCTTCAGCCCAGCAGTGCCCTGTCCCTACATGTGCCCTTTCTCCTCTTCCCTGACCTCCCGGCACAGGCCCTGTGGGGTGGCGGATACTGCACATCTGGACGGCACGTTGGGGCCAGCTGTGCCGTGCTGTGCCTCACCCGTTCCGCTCCCCTGGTGCGGTCAGGCCCGGCCCCCAGCAGCAGTGGAGGGCACTGGGGCAGCTCCAGCCCACCCAGGGGGTCTCCCTGGTTTTGCCACCAGCCCTCACCCTCTCACCTTCCCTTGCAGCCTGCAACTGCAACCTGCACGCTCGGCGCTGCCGCTTCAACATGGAGCTGTACAAGCTCTCGGGCAGGAAGAGCGGTGGCGTCTGCCTCAACTGCCGACACAACACTGCAGGGCGGCACTGCCACTACTGCAAGGAGGGCTTCTACCGCGACCTCAGCAAGTCCATCACAGACCGCAAGGCCTGCAAAGGTAAGCTGGGGGGCCTCCATGCAGGCAGCACAGGAGATACAACCTCTCTTGGTCTCCTTGCTCTTCCTTCCTGTCCTCAGGCCATCCCTCTGCTCAGAGCTCAGCTGCTCCCACTGGCAACTGCAGGGCACCTCCAGCCTCTGTCACCCTGGTCACTTCTGCCAGCACAAGGGCACCAGGCAGGGACATCACTTCAGGCCCAGCACCTCCTCAAGGGATGGGGAGGATGACAGGCAGGGAGTGAGCAGGCTCTCAGAAGCCCGGTCCATCCCAGGAGGGTCCTGGTGTAGCCACATTTACAGTCTCCACAGTCAGAAAGATGCTGGGCAGGTGCTGGAGAAAGTGCATGACTAAATGTGCTGAAAACCCATCCCTGACACTGACATTGTCTGGGCCATAGACATGCTTGGAAGCATTCAAGCTGCTTCACAAAATGACCCGTGATGGTTTCCCTGCCTTGTGGGGCTGGGGATGCTGACAGAGGTTGCCTCCTCCCTGCTGGACTGCGGTCCAGGACTCCACAGTGTGCATTTCAGCTATGGGACCTGTTTTGGGGGGCATGATGAGCACTACAGCTCTCGGTGCCTGCGGGCGGGTGGCTTGTCCCCGAGCTGTCCAGGAACCATGCTGTCTCCAAGCCATCAAGCTGCAGCTTGACCTCGCAAGGTCCCCAGCCAGTCACAAATTTCATGGAGCCTGCCCCTCTCCTCTACCTCCTCCAGCTCCTGGCCAAGCCCATCTGGTTTCTCTTATATCTCCCTGCTCATCCTTCTCTGCAGAGCCTTTTTCCTCTGTAAAGCCTAAAAATAATAGTTTCACTAAAGAAATTGAGATAAGAAAACACCTTGCCCACCCCCATGGACTGGTGGGATCCAGGCTGAAATGCTGGAGCAGGCAGGTTGGCCACAGCTGCTCTAAGGCCAGGAACTCATCTCTGATCCCTTTTCTTCCAGCTTAGATTGCAAGCGCCTCTCGGAAGAGAGGGCAGCATCCCTCTCTTGAGCATTGTGCAGTTATGTGGGCACCAGACACCTTCACTGCTGTAAGGACATGACACTAGTGTGTTTATGTAGGGCCTGCAGTAACTGCTAAAGCTGGTTTTGGACCATTACCTTTGTGGCCACAGACCTGAACTGAAGGATTTGGCTTTTGGGGTTCCCATCTTGGGTGCCTTAGTGTGGTTTGTAGGTATGGTTCATTTGGGTCCAGGATGTAATAGGTAAGATCCTTCCACTGCCTGTGCTGTGTGAGCCGCCCCTGCCTCTCCCTGTCCCTGCTCCTATGGGAGTGGTTGAGAGGACAGAGCAAAGGGAGAAACTTCCCATGTTTGACTGATGCCACGGGGGTAGCAGGAGCACAGCTGAGCACTTTCAGGGGGAGCCCCGCCTGCAGCCAGCTCATTAGCACACGATGAGCTAATCATTTTTAATAACCCAAGCAGTTGAATTGACATCTCAGCAGCCCATGTCCTCACGGGACCATGCACTGCTTCCCAGCCCCTTGGCCTTGGCCAAGCAGTGTCACAGCTATGGCTGTAGGTACAGCAGCCCCCCGGCAGCATCTGGGGTTTCCCATTGACAGGACTCATGCCAGGTGGCAGCCAGGTCACAAAGCCATGCCAGGTGCCAGCATCCTTGGGGTGACACTGGGAGGCACTAGGAGAGAGGAGCAGGCAGGACAAGACGTGCATCCCGAAGGTCTATAGCACAGCATTCTGAGTTGCATCCCATTCCTGGGAGGGGTCCTGGCTCTGTCTGAGGCCAAGGAGTGATGGCAGCAGCGCCTGGCTCATGCTGCAACGCTGCTGGACTGGGGCAGCTTTAGAAAAATTCCCTTTTCTGTGAGGATTTTCCTTGAGCACTGGGGGCTCACAGGCAACCCCAGGTCACCCCGACTGGCACTGGGGCTTACAAGCACTGGGGTGGCTGTGCCACCTACACCTCACCTCGCATCCTCTGCAGGCAGCACCCAACCTCCCCACCCCTCCCTGAACAAGGGGTTTCTGATCTCCTTTGGTTCACCAGCTCCTTCTGCTTTTGCTACCAAAATTGTCTGATAATATCCCAAGAAAAAAATAGAAGCCTTGCAGATGTCTGCCTCCCTGTGGGACCGGGGTTCCCAGTGCCGCCTCTGTGATGATCATTGAGGTCTTAGTTTCTGCCCCAGCCGGGAAAGAGAGCACTTACCAAAAAATAGTAATAATAAATAAATAAAGCAAGCAGGATTTGGCTAGATGCTGGAAACAGGGAGGAGTGTAACTGGATACGGCCCGGCTCAGTGTGTGCATCAGAGCTGGGTGTGAGTCTGTGGGACCAGGGACACTGCAGGTGCAGCATTCACAGGTCTCTCTGTTTTCACGGCTGAAGATGGAGCAAGCAGAGGGGCCCTGGCTGCCTCCCATCTGCCTGTGCCTGCCTGATTCAGGCAGCAGCCTGTGGTCTGTCAGAGCAAGTCCTGCTCCACCATCCTAGCAGGGCAGTAAGTGTGGAGCGTTAAGGTGATGGAAAGTATGTCAGATTTAAGGTGGCTCCTCTGGAGGGGATGAGGTGGGCAGAGCATGCCAGGATGCTCAGGAGCTGGTGGGATGGGACAAGCGCTGATGCTGCTGTGCAGGAGAAATGCCAGTGAGCCATGTCCAGGCTGCGGCGGAGAGGAAGAATGGGGTGCTGTGGCAGGTCCCTTGTTGCAGACAAACCTCCCTCCCCTGCCTGTCCCCGTGCCAAGCCACAGGCAGGTCTCTGCCAGCCCGGTCCAGAGGGTGCCGCTTCCGGAGGGCTGGCAGTGTTTGCCCGTGGTTTGGAAGTGCTGCAAAGGTTCAGCCAAGCCAGATGAACATGTGCACAAGGGCCATCCCCCGCTACGGTGCATATGTTGAGGAGGATCTGGCAGTAAAGGCAGTACCCTGGGTCTTGGGAGCCAGCTCCTGGCTCTGCCTCAGGGAACCAAGTTAATAATAAAATCCCTGATGCTTCTGCTCCTTTGGCTGTCCTTCTTTTGGTAAAGCAGAGAGAATTTCCACCTCTTTCTTGTACTTATCCAGTGGTGGATCCATTGGGACTGGGAGCGCCTTGGAGCAGGAGCAGCACCTGGGAGCCTGCCTGCCTGCCTGGTATCATGAATAGGAGCTGGTGCTGCCAGAGAGATATATAAATACATGGAGACTTGACAAGAGAGTTTGGGCTTGCTTTTACCAAAGATATGTCCTGTACCTATAGATCAGATACCTACATGCCTGTAAGAAAAAAGAAGTAAAAGGAAAGACAAGCCTCAGGACAGCAGATCTTAAAAGCAGGCATGGATCAAGCTGCTATGAACTGACATCTGGAGCTTTCAGCAGAGGTCTTTGCATTCACCACAGCACTGGTCCAGGGCAGAAGCTGAACATCCCAGCAAAGGCAAATTTTGCAGCTCTAGGAACAAAGCTTGTTTCATATTCAGGAGGTGAAATACTAGCCCAGAAACCAGGAACTACTACATTTTATTTAAACAAACCCCAAAGCATGTTACTAAATATCTATCAAACCACAGTTTGTCTCTTCTGGGATGCAACGTCTTTGAAATAGGCACAAAACTATTGACTGCAGATTGCACAAGCCCACATGTCCTGCTGGCAGCTGAGCAGAGCCCTCAGCCACCGGCTGGCGAGTGGGGAGTCAAGATTTTCCCTCCAGCCGCCGGCCGGCCAGCAGCCAGCGTCACCGCTGGACACTGCAGGATGGAAAAGTCAAATAAAGAATGGCTGTGCATTAATCCCTATAATTTAAACAAAGCTGTAAACTGTGAGCTTTCTCCAATGAAAACTGGTGAAGCAGTAGCAGCTAAGCCTTAAGACGCAAAAATACCCTCAATATTAGGTGCAAAACATGCTTTCTGGCAAGCACAGCTCGATGAGTTAAGCTCCAAGCTAGTGACTTAATCCCCTATTCAAGCACTGTGGGCCAGATCCTGGCGAGCAGCAGGGCTCAGTGTGTGGGCAGCAGGCGTGGAGCTGTGCTGTGACCCAACGCCTGCATTCCCCGGTGCTGGGATGGGGTCCCTTGGCTAGCCCCTCTCTGGGTCATGTCAGGACAAGGAGGGATGGAGATGCTGGAGTGGTGGGATGCAGCGACAGTGGGATGTGGGACTGGTCAGGGTAAGCACTGAGTGCTGCCTGGAACGGGAAGGAGCAATGGATTCTCATGGGACTGCAGGAAATCCCACCACAGCAGCTTGAGGGGCCAGAGGGTGGTCTGACAGAGACCAAAGACTGCTGTGGATGTGAGATGAGCAAGACGGCCTTAATTGCCAATCCGGATAAAGCATTAAGAGTCATTGAAAGCCCTCTTCCACCGCATGAAGAAGGATCTGCTTAGATGAATTGGATCCTGATTGTGCTGAGATTTATGTCCATCCTTAGACTTTACACCAGGAGTACGCTGCTGGGGCCCAAGAGATTATCCACAACGTGTGAAGTTAAGCGCTTGTATAAATCTTTGCTGGAAGCATGCCTTTGGCCATAAATTTTTTAGGGCACTGACTGCCACTGTGCATGCAGAGCAGGAGTGATGGCTGCAGGGATCTCTGAGCTCTCCCTGCACAGTTATATCTCTCAGACAAGCGGGAGTTTGGCAGAGCTTGTTGCCCAGCTGCTCTGGAGTGGGTTGGACTTTGACAGCTGGAGATGGGTGTGTGGCCCTAGGAGCACTCTGAGCACCAAAGGTGAGGTGAGAACCCCTCATTCAGGGCAGCACTGGGGTGATGCTGGTGGCACCGGGCTGCTTTTTCCAGCACAAGCGGTGATGAGGATGGTCAATGCTTCATGCCCAGCCCCACTAACAGAAGCCCAAGCCTTTGCTAGTGGAAAAGAGACAAAACAATGGACGGTTTCCAAGAGGTGTACCTGCCAGCTTGTCAAAGGCACCTGCTTCCTCCAAGTTCTGCAGGAACCAGCCAATCCCGCACAGAAGAGGCCTGTGGAGTAGGCATAGGGAGGCCATCAAGATGCATCTGAAGTAGCTGAAACATCCCTGAGCACTGTGGTTCAAGAGAGGGCTGTAAGCCTGATGTTCTCCCCCAGGGCAAAGCAGTGATGCTGTTCCCATGGGTCACCTGAGGCTGGTGAAGCACTGGACCATCGCTGCTGGCTTTGCTCCTTGTAGTCTAGGGCTGAACCATCCCATAATCTCAGGACCTCTGGGGCTCCCTGATAACCTGACGGCGGGTGTTTGCAGGAGAGCCAGGAAAGCCTGGCTCACTGGGGCAAGCTGACCGCCCTGGCAGGAGACAAGCCTGTTATGGCTGAAGAAAGACCCCATGTTTCTGACAGCACTACGTCGTGCCAAGACTCCCTTACTTACTGCCATTTGTTATCACAGCTGAGCCCCCAAAATATCCTTGTCAGAAAGACGTCCGTTTCCAGTCCCAGGCAAGATCTGATAAGAATGAAGCATCTGATCTGCATTAGAGTCTGCTTGCTCTGGTTTCTGGCCATGCAGGAGGGGACCCGAGGAGCAGCACTGTGGTGCTCCCACCAGTCCCATCTGGTGAAAATTAGGGAAACGATAACATCAGGGGGCTGCGGGGGCAGGCG